CCAATTATGTGGCACATGGTGTGATGAGTATGTGTTTCTGAGTTTGAGTTTATCCGTATGACTTACTGCGTCCTCAAAATGAAATCACATTTGTGTAAGCATGTAGTGCATCATATTGAAAAAATCAAAACTTCATGACATTCGAATTGTCCTGGAGAATCTGGAGTTTGGAGTTCTAGTAGCTATGCTTGGTAATCTGAGAAGTTAAGGAGTGAGCAGCAGGCTTGTTAGCTGTCCGAAGATGAATCGAACGTAGTTTTAGCGCTAGGAAATAAGTTATGAACTCTGGTAACGACCGAGAGAGACGGGATGGCTTCGGGACCAGCTCATGCGAGTGAAGATCCACCCCCGCCTCCATTATCAGCGCTACTTCAACTTAGTTGGTGAACTGGAAATTAATTTTATACTAATTTGTTCTCGGCTCATGCTTTAATGAGCTTATATTTCTGGGTCTTTAATTTGAAAGTACGTTTGATAAATAATCTATTAAAAAATAGAGACTGAGAATAAATGAGTTTGAAATTTCAGAGGTCAGTAATTAAGATTATTGTCACTATTTGGGTTTTCTTTGTTTAACCAATACTCAGCTACCAATGCAACATTTCATATTTCTCTAAAACGAGGCAAAATCTGTGATGTATGATGGGTGACAGATAAAAACCATGATTCTGGGCGCCCTGGGCAGCCTAAACTGATCAGCTCCTGCTCTTTCGCTTTCTGAGTCTTTTCCGCTCTGATGTGCCTGCTGGGCACCCAGGACCGAAATCCCCCCGCTGGGACCCCTCTGGTGCCCTGGGGCATTACGCTCCAGTTACATAACCTCATCATGATTAGGAATTGTTATCACAACTCCCTTAGGTACACAGGTCCACTTATCTAGAGAGAGGGGGCCGTGGAGCCTTTCAAAAGTAATTTCAAGTGGAAACTAAAAAGGCAAGCAAGTTCTGGGTGGGTACCTGATATGGCAGGCTGGCAGGTGTCCCCTGCCACCGTCCCAATGCATTCCTTCCTGAGCCACCTGCTTATTGGAGAGGTCAGACTCACCATGGCTGTGAGTGCCCAGCTCCTGCCCTAGAACCTTCCAGGCAAGCAGAACTAACCCCCGTCCCTGAACTGCCGGCCCCTCCTCCATTGCCTCCCATCTCTGCACATGCTTTCCCTCTGTGAGTGGTTCCCTCTCCTGACTTCGCCCCTGGACATCTAGCCACCCCACTCCTCAACATTGCCTGGAGGCCAAAAAAGAGCCACGAACTTTCATTGTTTGCAGTCAATATAATCAACAACATAAAAAAATCCAAGATAGGCTACTAAGTTTATACAAACTATAAACCAAGCTGATAAGATGGTCTGATATGGAATAACTTTAAAAAAAAAGTTTTCCTTTACATGAAAAATAATCATGTATAAGACGTAATAGAAAAAAGATCCTATTTGTGGTATCAACAAAACTGCCCAATACCTAGGAATAAGCCTGATGAAAGCTTTGCAATGGCAATATGAAAAAAAATCCAAGACTAGACTGAAGGACATAATAACAACCTTATTAATGGAAACATACCATGTACATGAATAGGAAAATTGATCTTGGTAGATTATAACAATGGATTATTATTTTTTTAAAGATTTTATTTATTTATTTGAGAGAGAGCATGAGCAGGGCAGAGGGAGAGGGAGAAGCAGGTCTCCCGCCAAGTCGGGAGCCCGATGCAGAACTCAGTCTCAGGACCCGGGATCATGACCTGAGCCGAAGGCAGACGCTTAACTGACTGAGCCACCCAGGCGCCCATATTACAATGGATTATTAACCACATTATTAATATAATATAATTTCAATGGATTATTAGGAAGTTTAAAATTTGATTCCAGAATTCAGCTGGAAGAGAAAATAGGCAGCAATATCCTAGAAACATTTGAAGAAAAGAACAGAACCAAAGAAAACCTGCCCTCAACAAGGTTGCCAAGATAGCCCTTTAACAAATGGCTCTGGATCACCTGCATGTGCACATGCAGAAGAATGAGACTGGACTCCAGCTTCAAGCCATGTACAAAAATTAATTCAGTGTAGATCAATGTGAAATTAATTCAATGTAGATTAATTCAATGTGAATATAAGAGCTAAACTTGTAGAACTCCTAAAAGAAAACATAGGTGGAAATCTTCAGCACCTTGAGATAATGGTTTCTTTGATATGGCACTGAAAACATAAGCAACCAAAGGGAAAAACAGACCTCATCAAAACGATCAACTTTCGTGCTTCAAAAGAGATGCTCGAGAAAAATGAAAGGACAGCCCACAAAGAGGGGGAAGATATTTGCAAATCATATATCGTAGTATATACCCAAGAAAACCAAAAATGTGCATCCACACGGGAAGTTGTATGCAGATGTTCATGGCGGCACTATTCACAATTGCCAAAAAGTGGAAACAACCCAAGTTCCCCTCAACTGATGAATGGATAAACAAAATTTGGCATTTCCAGACTGTGTCCTGTTATTCTGCAATAGAAAGGAATGACCCATGCTACAACCTGAATGAGCCTTGTAAACGTTATGCTGAGTGAAAGAAGCCAGACACAAAGGGCCACGTTAAGTATGAATCCACTGCCACGAAATGAATGAATAAGCAAATCCATAGAGAGAGGAAGCTGAGGCAGAAGGAGCGGGTCCAGGGAAGTGAGGGCTGGTGGGGATGAGATTTCTCTTCGAAGTGGCAAAAATGTTTTGCAGTTAGACAGTGGTGCAGCTGTACAACATTCTGAACCCGCTAACTGTATGCTTTTAAAGGGTGAATGCTGTGGTATGTGAATTTAATCTTAATCAAAACAGAGAACTTGTTCTATCTGACATCCAAATGTGGGATGGCACAATAGGAACTAAACCGTGTGGCGATCCTGGCATGGAAATGGACAAATGGAGGTTGGTCTCAAGTGGGACAGCTCATGGAGTACAAAAGCAGAGCCGCGGGCATCCCGTATATGACACGTAGCACCTCCGATCACCAGGAAAGGGGAAATGGTGGCAGAGAACAGCTGGGTCTCAGTTTGTGGGGGACAGATTCTAACCTCACCACCCTCAAAGAATAAATTTCAGATAGATTAAAGGGCTAAGTATAAGACTATGGAAATAGGGCGCCTGGGTGGCTCAGTTGGTTAAGCGACTGCCTTTGGCTCAGGTCATGATCCCGGAGTCCTGGGATCAAGTCCCACATCGGGCTCCCAGCTCAGCGGGGAGCCTGCTTCTCCCTCCCACCCTATCCCCTCTCATGCTGTTTCTCTCTCTCTATCTCTCTCTCTCTCAAATAAATAAAAAATTTTTTTAAAAAAGCTTTTAAAAAAAAAAAGACTATGGAAATAGAAGAAAATAAAGGACATACGTGTGACCTTGAGGAAAGCCACCCTAAGTGGTACATAAAATTCATAAAGAGGAAGATGGAAAATTTGGCTTTATAAGAATGGGAAACTGTACAACCAAAGATATCATAAGTTAAAAAAAATCATTTCTCACATAGTAAGCAAAGTATTAGTATCCTGTATTTTTTGAGAACTTCTAGAAAAGTCAAAATAACAAGTGTCCAGCGCTCTCATCTCCCTCCTTGAGTTGCCTTTCAGATGGTCCCAGAAGTCTGTCCTCTACTCAGATAATCTCTACAGATAACCTTGACCCCTTTATTGAGGTGTTACAGGATGTCATTGGCTGCTTAATCCCATCCGGTCAGCCCTCTTTCTTTTTTTTTTTTTTAAGATTATTTATTTATTTATTTGTCAGAGAGAGATTGAGAGAGAGCGCACGCACAAGCAGGGGGAGTGGCAGGCGGGAGAGGATGCAGGCTCCCCGCTGAGCAAGGAGCCCGAAGCGGAACTTGATCCCAGGACCCTGGGATCATGACCTGGGCTGAAGGCAGACTTTTGTTTTGTTTTGTTTTTGTTTTTGTCCTCTAATGGCTGTTCCTCTACCGTTGTGGTTTTTTTAAATTTTTATTCCTATGTTAATCACCATACATTACATTAGTTTTTGATGTAGTGTTCCATGAAGGCAGACGCTTAACCGACTGAGCCACCCAGGTGTCCCAGTCCAGTCCTCTTAGCAAAGTCAAGGTCGTCTTGGGCAGAACAGCTGGACACCAAGCTCTGCTCCGGGAAAAGTGAGTAAAGGAGCCATGTGCTGTGGTGGATGCAGCGGGGATGGGCTGAAGCCCAATGCCCACTCGCTCTGCTCCTTCCACGCCGCCTCTTCTGCTGGGCCACGTGGCTGGTGTGCACAGGCCACAAAAGAGGCAAATGGAGCCCACTTAGCATTTCTTGCCTGTCAGCCACTTAGTGGGGGCCGCCCTATAACTCTGTTATGTGGATTCTGGACAGATCTCTCTCAGTAAGGAAGGGTCTGTGCTGTGGTTTCTTGTTGCAAGCAGTAACCTTATTCAAGAAGTGGAATTCTGCAGGTGTCACATGGGGACTTCTGTCGTAGACCGAAAAGACCTTCTTATTTTTCTTTTCCTGCTGAGAGAGACCGACAGCTCTCGACTGGGCAATTCAGGGCAGTCCCCTCCAGCTGCCATCTCATCTGCTTTTCTGGTTCCAGAAGCCATAGATTTAGGCCACGTTTTGTTACATTTCACAGTGTGCTTAAATAGGCCATGCGGGTCCTCATCTTGTTACAAAAGACAACTTGCAAGAGGGTAAGGTGGTGATGTCCATGTGCTCTGCTCTGCCGCTGGGTTTTGTGAAACACTCCACATCAGAGCTTCCCTGAAGGGTGTCAGAGACAAGAGTGGGACCGGGATGCAGCTTAACACCCCACTCATCATCTCTAAGTAAATCAGACCTTCCTGCCAGAGATCCTGGCCGGGTCACGCTGGGCTTAGCATTAAATATTGACTGGTTCAGTATTTTATGCCAAAAGGGAATCCCATAGCTGAAAGCAGGAGAAGGGGGTTGGAGGCGGTTGGCTTATAGTGAGCGGGCGAGAAGCTACGTGACTGAGCCGACTTTCTCCTCCTTGCAGGGTCACTGTTACTACCACGGACACGTGCAAGGATACTCTGGCTCCACAGCCAGTCTCAGCACTTGCTCTGGCCTCAGGTAAGTGGCCCTCTCGGGGCCAGCTCCGGTCTTGAGCATGACCACCACCTCCTCCTTCTCCCATTTGCTCTCAAGGATCAAGAGTAAATGGTGGGGCCTGAGCCTCCACCCAGCGAGACAGAGAATCCCTGCTGGACACCTCGCAGGAGCACATCGCACGCAGGATCTTAGTTTCTCTGCCACGGCAACTCTTTCTAGAAGGTTCTCAGGCCTGGTGGGCTGAGAGCCACTGAACGTGCTGAGTTTCTACATCCAAGGATTTTGTGACGATCTTTTGTTTATGTGGCTCTTGTGCTTAGTAATTCCCGGTGTTAGAAGGTAGGAGCTCAGGTACTAGTGTTCAGGCTGTGTGCTCGTCCACCGAGCCTCCCCTCGTTAGAGGTGAAGCCGAGCAAGCAGCTGAACGGAGATCGAGGTGAGTTGAAGCCAGGTGTGGGGTGTAGGGGCTCCGGCTATGAGGCTGCAGCCTGTGTCAGGAAACAGGTCCGTTCCGTGCCGGACGAGCCAGCCCTCATGGCTCGTCCTTCCGGATCACACTCACGCACCAACAGTTGGCTCTCATGTGCTCCCCACGAAAACCAGTTTGTCTGCCCAACTTCCAGCCGCCTCCGCCTTTTTACCGGCTTCATTCATTGGGTTGGTGAACCAGCAGCTCTATCCCCCCATGTCCTGCTTTGCTTGGGCCCCGGGTTCTGTGGGGAGAGGGACAAGGGCCTGGGGGGCGCCAGCTTGAGTGAGACCAGGGCTGCCCTCTGGGTCCCAGGAGCGCCACGTCCCTGGGAGTCCCGCGTGGGGCGCTGTACACTCACGACCCACGGCACCACCCGCAGACACGATCTGCCACACGCACTACCACGCACGCACAGGTAGGTCAAGCTCTGCACGTGTGAGGGAAGTGTGGCTACCCGGCGCTCGTCAGGGTGTGAACAGCTGTGGAAGAAGCCAGAAGCCTCACTGAACACTAGCGGAAACGGGCGCTCTCAGATTCACCCTGACACACGGCAGGCATTTCACGAATACGCTTCAATTAATAACGAGTCCCCGTGGCCGCACCTTATGCACAGCGGCGGTGTCTATGATAAGTCCCCAGCGTCACCCGGCCCGTGGAGCCTGGAGAAGCCCCCTGCCCCGGCTGTGGGATGCACCCGGCCAGGGAAATGCCCGTCCCTGCGTGGGGCCGCCACCCCGAGGATGGGGCTCTCCTGCCAGTGCCAGCCGCTCGGGCCCTGCTTCTCACTCTCGTGGCCCTTGTGTCTGCCCTCTCTCTTCACTTGCGTGTCAGGGGCCCAGAGCAGAGCAGTCCCTCAGTCGTGCCCCCCAGAGCCAGCCCCTTCCACTGCACCCTCCGTCTCCCATCCTGATCCCATTCCCTACCCCCGGGTGCCCTCTATTAACGTGGAACATGCATCCTTCCAGGCTACTGCCCATTCTTCATGACCCAGGTCACCTGCACAATTTACAGATGTCAAGAGAGGGCATCCTGTCTCACTCTGCAATTTGCTTTTGTCTTCAGCACTGTTTTGACATCCATCCTCCTTGGCTCACGTGGGACTGGTTCCTTCCTTTGACAAATAGGCTTGAATTTGCCACATCGTATCTCTTCACAGCCTCCATGATGTGCATTTAGGTGGTTTCCTGCTTTTCTCAATTGCAGACCACACTGGTTGTGCCAGGGGCCTCAGGGGGTCTGTGCCTCTGTGCACAGGGCCCGGCGGGGGGCAGGGGGGCTGGCGGGGGACGGGAAGAGCAGATGCCGTGCGGAGGCAGAAGGGCCTTCACTTTTACCAGCAACAGTCCTGCCACTTTGTTCTTCCAAGTGCCTGTCCTAGTTCCCACGCTGGCCATCAGAGCTGAGAGTTCTCTCTCCTCACATCCTCCCCAATCCCTGACATATCTGGTGTATTTTCAATGTTTACCACTGGAATCCAGCAAATTGTACAAAAAAGCTAACCATCCCCCATCCACCCTCTTCCACTCCACTCAGGTAAAACATGGCAGCAGCATGGGGTACCTTTCCCAGCTTTCTCCTCGTCCTGTGCAGGCAAAGCCCGGTGCATGTGTGTGTTTCTCTATTTTTATAAAAATAGGTCACACCTTCCCCTTACTCTACCCTGATCCTTCTGTCTCTGCAAGTCAGGACACAGAAACTTAAATCTCTGGTTCACCCCATTGAGTGTGTACACACACTTATCTCTGCACACTATTGCTTTCATAAAGCATTTTTGATACACCATTGATAGGATGTTATTGAACTTTGAAACATCTGCTAATCTGACATGTGAGCAGAGTTATCTTGTTGCCGTTGCATTGGCTGCTCTCCTGTTAATCATTCCTTCAGCAGACATTCCTTGAGTACTTCCTCAGTGTGGGCACTGAAGGAGGTGAAGTGAGCCGTGCGGACGTCTGCAGGAAGCACATTCCTGGCAGAGGGAACAGCATGTGCTAAGCCCCTGACGCAGGAAAATGCCCGGGTTGGCAGAGCAGCAAGGTGGCTGGTGTGGCTGAGGCAGAGGAGGGAGAAGAGGCAGGGGAAGCTGAGGTCAGAAGAGAAGGAGAAGGGCCTTGGCCTCTCCCCTGTCTGTGACGGGGGTCACGGGAACTTCATGCTGCGGTCTGACTTAACGTTCACACGGGTCACTCTGGCGGCTGGGCTGAAAACAGACTGTAAGGGGAGCATGTAGAGGGGCAGAGCTCCACTGGACTCCATCCCAGGGATGCTGCCGAGCGACAGGAGCCCGGGCAGAGCTGGCACCTGTAGACAAGCAAGAGTCCAGAAACTTCTTCAAGGGCTTAGAGAGGCTCATGCCTCTGGCATCTGCATAAGCCTCTGACCATTTCCTTCTCCACTGAAAGTGCTCTGTGTCTGAGACTCGCTCTCCCGAGGTAGTGTGGGGCACAAATACACGAAGGCACCAAGCTCCTGCTACCGAGGAAGCCATGGGAAAGCCCCTCACGAGGTAGGGCCTCCCAGACGCAAGCGAGCCCGGCAGGCATGCTGGGCGCTGGGAGGAGGGCAGCGTTTGCAAGTGATGAGATGCAGAGAGAGGACCGCCGCTCCCCGTGGACCGAGATGCGCGAGGGAGGGACTTGGAACGATGAAGTGTCTTCTCGAAAGGCTGTCGGGGGCAGGGGTCAGCAGGGTGAGCTGGGTTTCAGCTGGGGCGAGGAGGGAAGGTCGGGGGAGGGTAGTTGGAGGACGGACCGTGAGTCCCAAGAGCACAGTGGGAAGGTGAGGGGGTGAGGGGAGGAGTGAGAATGGGGTCAGTTAGAGGATTAAAGAGCTCTGTGGAGACAGGGCCCCGTCTTGATGGAAAAACCAGAGCTTGGGCTCCTGGGGGAGACAGAGGCAAACAGAGATGAAGGACAGGATGGGGTCAGACCTAATGGCGTCTGGGACGGAGGGGAGGGACGGAGGGGAGTTCACGATGGATGATCTGGGGCCAACAGTAGATGTTTCCACCCTGGAGCACAACAGCCCTAGCAGTGAACTAGCACCGTGAACTAGCTGTCTCCACACAGCTCTTCAATCCTCTAACTGACCCCATTCTCACTCCTCCCCTCACCCCCTCACCTTCCCACTGTGCTCTTGGGACTCACGGTCCGTCCTCCAACTACCCTCCCCCTGACCTTCCCTCCTCGCCCCAGCTGAAACCCAGCTCACCCTGCTGACCCCTGCCCCCGACAGCCTTTCGAGAAGACACTTCATCGTTCCAAGTCCCTCCCTCGCGCACCTCGGTCCACGGGGAGCGGTGGTCCTCTCTCTGCATCTCGTCACTTGCAAACGCTGCCCTCCTCTGAGCGCCCAGCACGCCTGCCGGGCTCGCTTGCGTCTGGGAGGCCCTACCTCGTGAGGGGCTTTCCCATGGCTTCCTCGGTAGCAGGAGCTTGGTGCCTTCATGTATTTGTGTGACAGTGGACAAGTAGCCAGACCTCTCTGAGCCCCAATTTCCTTGCATTAAAATAGAATAAAGTCTCTAGCTGAAGTGGTGGTTTTGAAAATTAATGCAGTGACCTATAGGAAAGTGAATCCTATGCCTGACTTTGAGTGAGCAGCCAAAGGAAGAACCATCAGACTCTTGAGACTGTCTCGTGTTCTTTGATTCTGGGATGAGCCAGTCAGGAGGTATGTTCATGCAGTACTTCTGGGCTAATTCGATGCAAAGCTGTACTCCTCCTAAGGGAAACATGGCGGATGCACACAGGACCATGGTGGGAAAGATCACACGTGGAAATCACTGTCACTCTACCCTGTGTGGTATCCAACACGCTTAAAAGTTAAGAGTCTCTAATACACACCTGGAAAGGGAAAATCCACAAATCCACACTTTACTATTGCACCTCTCTGGAGCCTAAAAGACGGACCTGTTTGTTCAAAGGCCACTTATTGAGGGCTAGGTATTTCTAGCCTTCAAGTTAACATAAAGGTCAAATTGTGCAAAGAACAGAAAAGCTAATTTGAACTGGCAAAAAAACAAACAAAACTTGGAGGTAGACTCATGCTATTTAAAAGGCCACAGGTGGCTTCAGGCATGGCTGGATCCAGGGTCTAACCAATGCTATCAGAGTCCATTCTCTCTCCACTCTAGCCTCTACTTCCTTCTGTGTTGGTTTTATTTTTACACATGGCTTATTTTTTTGTGGTTACAGAGGGGTTGCAGGCAGCCCTAGGCTTATAGCCTCAGAGGGCAAGTAAAAGAATGAGGGCCCCTCTTTCAAGTTCAGCAAAGCTCCCCAAAACACATCTGTTTGGCCCTGACTGGGTCATAGGCTCATCCCTAAAATAATCACAGCATCCAGTGGTGGGTATGATGCTCTGGTTTAACTCCCTGGGTCAGGCTGGGGGTGAACCACACCCAACCCCAAGGATGGGAAGTGGGGTGGGTGAGTGCACCAAGGAAAACCAGGGAGCTTTTGCCAGAGAAAGAACAAATGAGGGCCGGGAGAGTAAGAAACAAACAGGCTTCTTCCAACAATGGCTTCTACACATCTGTGATGAAATT